TATACAGTGAAATACTACACAGCAAAACCAGAAAAAAACAAAAACAAATGAGCTATGGATACACTACACAACACACACACAAATCTCATAGACATGAAATCGCGTGAAAAATCCAGAAACCAAAGCATACACACTGTATGATTCCATGTATATGAAGTGCAAAAACGAGTGAGAACAATCACTGGGGGTAGGAAGTCAGAATAATGGCTTCCAACGTGGATCAGGAGTATAGATTGGGAAGGGGCATGAGAAAACCTGAGGTGCTGAGAATGTTTTATCTAGAGCTGGGTAGTAGTTTCATGGGTGTAGACCCAGGAGACATTTCACTGAGCTGTACGCTGAAGATTAGCACCCTTGGGGAATGCATTTTACTGTACATTATACCCTGACTGAAGGAAAAGAATGGATGTTAGAAACACACCTATACCTTAGTATCTGTAAAAAATCAGCATGTTTAGTAATTCTGTTTTCTCTGTGGGAGATGGCGTTATATGGAACTAGTATCACAGTGTGATGGCCACCAGTGAGTCCTGGATGCAAAGACCGGTCAATTCCACACCTTCAGTCCATCCTGCGGGGCCTCTTCCCTATTGAGAAGACCAAGATCATCAGTTATTGCTTCAACCCACTCCCGTACCCTCTTGAGATTCACTTCTGGACACCCTCGCCCATCCTCATCCCCCACCCCCCTACTCAGAGCACCAGGGCCTTTTCCTCTTTTTTTTTTTTTTTTTAAGATTTTATTTAAAAAAATTGTAATGTGTATTCATTTTTGAGAGAGAGAGAGAGAGAGAATGAGCAGGGGAGGGGCAGAGAGAGAGGGAGACACAGAATCCCAAGCAGGCTCCAGGCTCTGAGCCATCAGCACAGAGCCCAACGCGGGGCTCAAACTCACAAACTGCGAGATCATGACCTGAGCTGAAGTCGGGCGCTTAACCAACTGAGCCACCCAGGTGCCCCAAGATTTTAGTTTTAAGTAATCTGTCCTCCCAATGTGGGGCTTGAGCTCATAACCCCAAGATCAAGAGTCATATGGTCTACTGACTGAGCCAGACAGGCACACCCCCTTTGCCCTTTTTATGGGCCCATCTTTTCAGCCTGCACCCTTGAACCCACACGGTCTTGTCTCCTCAAAACTGTGCCACCTCTCACCTTTCACTTGCTTGCCTTTTCAGTTCTTTCCTCTCAACGGAATCCTTCCTCAAGTTTCTCCTATTCAAAGAAAAAAATTCCTCCTTTGGACCCCTGTCTGGGACTTCTATATTCACTGTTGTCCTTTATTCCTGGATAGTGTCTCTTAAAGTCACAGCTTTGGCCACATTATTGAAATTCCACAGGCAAAGGACACCAGTGAATTTTCAATGATCACATGCAAAGAATACTTCGTTAAGCCTTATTTTCCTGATATATCTGATGTTGCTGACTCCCCTCACTTTGAAACTTTGTACCTTTGACTTTTATGACACAGAGTGGGCCAGGCTCTCTGTATTCCTGCTGACCCCTTCCTCTCTGTCTCCATCAGGGGACCTTGTTCTTTATACTTCCTTCCAAGTGCTGCTTCTCCTGGTTCAGCCGTGGTCCCTTCCCAGTCCCGCTTAGGCATTCGTTATTCTTCATGGGTGGTCACATGGGGTCAATACCACCTGTACACAGATGACTCTCAGATCTGTTTCCTCTGAGGTCAGGGCCATGCGGTCACCTGCTTGCTGGACCACCGAATCTGAACATTCTCCGAGCCCTTCAAGCTCCGTGCGTTCAATCCAGGATTCCATTCCCAAATCTGAAATTCTTTGTCAGTTGGTCGTACTGCCACCATTCACCAGATCATCCAAACTAGAAACCAATAATTAAGGCAGGGGTTCTCAACCCTAGTACTGTTGATATTTCGGGCTGGATCATTCTTTGTTGTGGGGAGACTGTCCTGTCCTGCTTGTTAACAGATGTTTAGCTTCTGTCCACTGCATGCCAGTAGGGACCCGCCAGTTGTGACAACTAGAAAGTGTCTCCAGATATTGCCAAATATCCCCTGGGAAGGAGGGTGTCAAACTATCCTAGGGTTGAGAAACACTGGGGCCAAAGCATGGGTTTAGGTGTCACATGTATGTGTGTTACGTGTATATGGGGCTAGTTAGCTACCTCACTGAGCTTTGGTTGGTTTTCTCTGTAAGGCAGAGACAGCCCTCATCTCATAGTAGAACTTACCTAAGATAATATAGATAAATTGCATGGTCTATTCCATATGGGACATTGGTCAAGAGCAGCAAAGACTCCTCTGTTCTCACACTGAAACTCTGAGGCACTCAGTTTTATTTTCTAGGTATTTCTTGTCTATCCACTCTTCTCCATTTGCAAGAGACTGAAGTTCATGTCCCGCCCCAATTCACATGTTGAAATCCTGCCCCCCCACCCCCCAGAGCGACAGTATTAGGAGGATGAGTGGGTGTCATGAGGGCAGAGCTCCTACCACCACATGAGGACACAGAAGATGGCTGTCTAGGAGCCAGGATGTGGGCTCTCACCACACCGAATCTGACCTTGGACTTCCCAGCCTCCAGAACCCTGAGAAATAAACGTTTTTGTCGAAGCCACCCAGTCTACGGGATTCTGTTACAGCGGCCCAAATGGACTAAGGGGCCATTCCTACCCGGATTATTGCAATTGCTTTGCACCTGGTTCTCAAAGCTTCTGTACAGCCTCATTCCCCTCAGATCCACACTTCACACGGTGTACCGGGCCTACGTGGTCTGGCCGCTGCCCATCTCCACAGCCCCATCTCTTGCCCCTCCTGGCCTTGGATTTCTAGTCTAGCCGCAGTGAAATGTTAGGCATTCCTTTTATACCCTGCAGTTTCCTGCCCCCATGTACTAACTCACACCGCTCCTTCTGCCTGGAATAACCTCCCACACTCTTCATCTGGCTGACTCTTGTTTTCAAGGCTCCCTTGAATTTCACCTACTCCAAAAAGTTCCACCTGGAGCCTCCCTTCCCCTGCTGGGCTCAGTGGTCAGAGCTGTCTCCTTGCAGTATATTTTTGTTTCTGTACCTGTCTCGGCTGGGCTGCATGGGGAAGGAATTGTGTCTTTTTCATCTGTATATACATAACATCTAGCACATCCCCTGACACACAGACGGTGCTCAGCAAATATTTATTGAGTGAATGGATGGCTATAGCACGATATTATCCTCTATGTTAGGTTTAGAGCCATAGTTCAGAAGTGGTTATAAAATAGTCTATAAATCTACCCTCTCTGGCTCCGAGGCAGTGCTTCCTCAGCCAGGGGCTGGTGGCAGGCACAGTGCTGGCCGCTGACCGGTAACACTTGCAGAAACGTGAGGTTGACTAATGATACAGGGAGTGACAGCGCAACAGATAGCGGCTTACAGCAGCATCAGCTAGCTGTTCTGAGAGTCGGAGGCACTTCACCTTTTTCCTCTGTGGCCTCTCACGTATCCTAATTCATGGCCCTACCTGGCAATGCACTCTTCTAACTCCTTCACTCCCCTCTGGGGTGACACGCTGGAGTCCCTGAGTTGGCTCAGCTAATCAATATAAAAAAGCCCCACCATGCCCATGACCTGTCGGAGGTCTGCTTGCTCCTACTGTTTTTCGGTCTGGGATCCCTCAGAGGAACCCATCAGGAGGTCAGGGCTGCCTCTTCCCAGTATCTGTCACAGCTGGGGCAGTGTGTTTAGGCCCTCCTTACTAGGCCTGGGGAAGGAAGCCCAGGCAGACACCAAGAAGTGAGAGGTGTTTAGCCAAACCCGCCCTCTTTCTTCCTCCAATAACAATAAGGCTTTGTTTATCAGGCCTAAGGTTACAGGTCAGTCTGTGGAGTCCTGAAAACCTGCTAAATCCCTTTTCGAACCCAACTCTTTGAGCCTCGGTCTCCCCATTTGTCAGGTGTGTGTGTTGGGGGCGGGGCGTGGAGTGGGTAAACCACTCAGGGCCCTCCGTCCCAGTTTTCAGGGTGCTGCCCAGGTGTATACGAGGGTAGATCCGGCCCGTCCGCCCGCGGGGAACGACAGCGGATCCCAGAAAGTTGGGGGACGTAGGCGCTGCCCGGGAAGCCCCTAGGCAGAGCGGTCCCCTGAGACCGAGGTCGGGCCAGAAAGGAGCCGGTGGCGAGGCGGGAAAGCTCTGAGGCTCCCGAGTGCCATTCAGTGGCAAGATACGGGCTCTCTCTCGTAGGGCAGGGGTCTGCCCGGTCGCGACGGGCGGGGCCGGGCGGAGGCGGGAGGGATGGTCAAGAAATTCCCGGGAAATTCCTTTCCATTCCAGCATTCCCTGCCCCCTTTCCTTGGGTGCTGACCTCTCCGGACCCCGGGAAGGAGAAATGAAACGCTTTCCGGGTTTCCTTGCGTCCCTTCTCCAGCCGCGGGCCGCCTGGGGTTTGGAGCGCGTCGGGGGAGCAGTAAGGCCGGCGCGCCGGAGTTCGCCGCCTTCCCGCGGGCGGGGAGAGTGTCCAGTCCCAGGCGGCGACTGGGGCTCCGGGGCGCGCTGCCGCTTGGTCCCACAGCTCGGGGAGGCGTCCCCCGGCTTCGGTCCCGTTCGGCTTAAGCCGGTGTCACATGAGCGGCGGGGGAGTGGGAACCCGGGGAGTGGGCGGGGGCGTGCGCGCCGGGAGGGGGCCGCCCAGTCCACCTATATGCGCCGCGGCCCTGCTGACGGATGCCAGGAATTCCCAATGAAAGGCGATGGGGGGAAGTTTGGGCAACTCGGCCTGGCCAATGGAGAACCTCGGGAGGGCTCTGCCCCTTCCCCCCGCCCCCGCCCGCCTCTGCTCCCGCAGCGCGAGTGTGTCCGCCTAGCTCACTGTGCGTGGAGATTAGGTCCCAGGCAGGCAGTCCGCGAGCTCCAGCAGCCGGCCGCCGCCACCGCCACCAGCAGCAGCTACCGCTAGCAGCGCCGCGGCGGAACCGGGCGCAGGGGAGCGAGCCCGGCCCCGCCAGCCCAGCCCAGTCCGGCCCGACTCCCTCCCCACGCCGGGGCAGGAGCAGCAGCCGCCACCGCCGCCCCGAGAGAAGGTGGAGGAAGAAATCCAGCTTGTAGCACGCGCGCACCATCATGGACCATTATGATTCCCAGCAAACCAACGACTACATGCAGCCCGAAGAGGACTGGGATCGAGACCTGCTCCTGGACCCGGCCTGGGAGAAGCAGCAGAGAAAGGTCAGCAGCAGCCCCAGCACGCCGTAGCACCCCGGCCCGGCCGGCTCCGCTAGCCGCGCTCCCGGCTCGGAACGGATTCCAGGCTCGCACGAGCGGGGGCGGGGGATGCGCGGCCGCCGCGAGGTGGGGTGTTGGGTTACAGACGCGGGCGGAAGCGGGAGAGCCCCTTTCCCAGAGCCCGCGAACGCCGGAGCCCGAGCGCGGGGAGGTGGGGCCGCCGGCGGGCAGGTCGCCTTGGGGTCCGCGATTCAGGCCACCCGGCTGCAGCCGCACCGTCCCCGCGTGGGCAGGGGGTGGAGGGCGGTGCTTGGGAGGCTGGGGCTGAGCCGTGGCGCGGTGGCTGCTTGCTCCGGATCGATTTTCCCTTCCCTTCCCCGCCCCCTGGCCGCCTCTCCATCTGGCGTGCGGTGGCAGCGCGCTTCCTGGGCCACCCTGGGCTCCGTACCTGCAGGAGGAGAGCTGCACGCGACTCTGCACCTCCCAACCCCAGCCCGCAGGCCGAGGGGAAAGCGGGCGCCGCAGGGGTTGGCAGCCGCCTCCGGGTCTGCCTGGAGGTGGACCTGCTGGAGTGGGTTGGGGCTGAGGAAACTGGGGGGGCATAAGCGGGTTCTCCAGCTGGCCCTGTGGGGGCGGGGTCAGGACGACCAACCGTTTTATTGCTTAACTCAGCTGCCGGCGGAGATGGGGGTTTTGCGTCTGCGTCCTGCCAGTCCGACCCTCGCTTATTCTCGGGAGAAGGCGAATTTGGGCAACTTGATCTGAGTTGAAGGGCTCCAGGGCAAGAGGTTGTTTACTGAGATATTTGGGGTCAGTGAATGGGGAACCCCTGCTCAGCCACCTTCCCCAAGAGTCCCAGACGAGGTGTGCCGGGTGCGCACCCTCCACGGGGGCTGGGCTCAGAGCTGGCGATGGGACCTGGGCACAGTGGCCGGCGGCAGGAAGAGGTCAGAAACCACTCTTGTGGGGAGGGGGAGGAGGGTGCCCCAACCCTGCCTCTGCTTCCTGCCCGCGCTATGAGCTCTTGCCCCAGGCGGCCACGTACCCTGAACACCCTCCTCTCCCCCCTCCCCCGCTGTCCGCTCCCATCCGGTCCCTCCTCATTTCATCCCCCCCCCCCCCCCC